TATATATATATATATATATATATATATATATATTTCATTATAGACTTTTTCACTTACATCTCCCAGTATACAGTGAGACCAAAGTGAGACTGAAGCCTGTTTCTGCTCTGACTCAAGCTCTTCTTGAGAGAAACCAGTAGATTAAGTCTGAGTTTAGTCTCAGTTTAGACATTTTTATCCATTTATTTTAATATAGCAGTTCGCATTTTACTGTTAAATAGGACCATGGCTTACTTGGAAACACATTCTAATTCTAAAAGTAAAACAGATGATTCCTTCATCAACTGATTGTGAAATGAAGTACTTGGCAGACTATTTTAAATAGTGAAGTATTATAAGACTGGTTAATGTTTTTCACATTTTTGTGAACATGTTTAATCGTTGTTTTTATTTTTTCCAAGTATATTTGATCTTTTATTTATCAGCGTCTTAGTTTATTGTGTATCAAATTATTTTTGTCTTTAGAACCAGACAAAATGTGCAGGAAAACATATTCAGACCTTTTTGATGAACAAATAAAATGTATTCGGTTCTTCAGTATTGCCCAATAAAGTTTATCTTGTGACATTGCATGTTTCTTTTATTTCAGTTAACAGTTAAATAATGTTCAAAGTTCTGCAGGAAATAAAAGCAAAAGTATCAAGAAGGGAAAACTGGTTAAAGTTTAACCACAAGTTCAAACAGTGCTACTGTATGTGGATCAAGTTTTTGTGATTTTTTTGAAGGAGGAGTCAAAAATCTTTATTTTATGTGTTTGTAAATGATTACTGTGAGAAAGTCACAACCAGCCTTTGACGTCATTTGACCTCGTGTTTTTCTTTGTTTACACATCAATGGTTTTAAAAGGATATTATAAAGCTTAAACTAGGAGTCCTGTTGTATGAAAAATTATGCACATTATGTCCTATAGAATCATGGGGCCTATGCATGGTGCAGCACTATCAGAGTTAGGTCAGCTGTAATCGACTAAAACAGTATTTCTGAAGTATCCACACAGATGAAGGAGTCTGTGTGAATGATGAATCATTATGGCCTGCCTTTGTGCATCCTAGCAAACTAATGTTGCTCCTGGGCTGCCAGCTTAACCAGATGCACCTGCATGCTGCTCTCTACAGCACCTCGTTAATAATTCCCTGCACCTGTTCAGCTTCCTTCATAAACGTATCTTCTAGACATGCAGTTCCAGATCTTTTGAGGGACTTAATGGCCAGCATTCTTTTCCTAACTTTTCTCCATCAAGTTTATGCCTCTTGGATGATCCTGCCTTGCCTTTGTCAAACCAGACTTTGGCCTCTTCTTTCTGAACAACAACCAGAACAATCCATCAAAATACATTTTACAGCCAAAAACAACCAACAAACAAGATTCAACTTTAGCCAGAGATTTCAAACTAAACCAGAAACCAAAAAGCTATGGGGGCAAACAGTGTGAACTGTTGAACAGCTGCCCCCACACCTAGAGACAATTTAGAGATGCCAATTAACAGTCATGCTTTTAGACTCTGGAAGCCAGAGAGAACCCACTCATGCGCAGGAAGTACAATCGAACAGGGAGAACATGCAGAAAGACCCAGAGCCAGGAATCAAACCCGGAACCTTCTTGCTGCAAGGCAGCAGTGCTACAAAATGCAGCACCATGCAGCCCTTCATTCTCTTCCTTTGCTAGTAATTTCTTCAGTTGTACACCAGGGGGAAGCCTAGGACAGACAGGATAGCTGATGTCACATGTTTGAAACTAACATCTTATGGAAATTTTATCATTATCATTTCCTAGACATGTCCCTGGATTAAAGACTATACTCAACATATGAAGATACTTTGTCAAGAGATACCTGTGTAGATTCCACCTCAGGGAACTGGTTTTGTTTATAAATTATTTTGATTAAAAAAATACTACGGTAAGCAGATAATTTTGAATAAGAAAAAACATGATTTTTTTGTAAATCGGATATAAATGAATTTCATAAGTCTTTTTGTTGCAAAATTTTGGATATTGATGCAAAATTTCCAAGCATATTTTTGTGACTTGGTTGTTAAGTCTGCACCTTCTATTTAGTCTTTATTTATAATTAAACACAGGTTGATATCTCAGCTTAGGTATCAAGAATGAAACAACAGCTACCAAACCAGTATGTTTCATTCTCCTCTGATGTATTTCAAAACCTTTTTAAAACCTGCTTTTTTCAAACCTCTTCTTAAATAACATAATCGAGACTGATCTTAAAAACAGACCCATACAATATAAAACTTACATTACTGTCCAGAGTTTCAAAGAAGGTTGTCCCTGAACAATTAACATCCTTTTTAGAGAACTGATAATTTTTTTGTTAATGCGTTTTAGTCTGGTTTCTGCAAGCATAACTTTACAGAAACTGCTCAGAGTTTCTTGTGACATTTTATTATAGACATTCTAGTGTCTGTGGACTGACAGCATCAAACTTATGAACTCTATTTTAGCATATAATCATGGAAAAATAGATGTGTATTTAACAAATTGATACACACTGTTCTAAATTAGGCCTATATAAAAAGCCAGTTGAAAGAAATATACATTTCTTGTTCCTACAACGAAAAGTAAAAGCGCTCTGTCTGATCATTACTCCAAATATATTTCTTAAATCTGTGGTTAACAATTTAGAATCAATACCTACATTAACCTACAGTGTTAAAACTTTCTGGTTGAAACATTGCATTTTATATTCTGACCCTTAAAATTTCTAGCACATACCTCATTAATTTCTAGAGGCTTATTTTGCATGTCCTTCAGATCAGAAAATGTTTTGTGCAAATCCAACCACAATGCTTACAATCACAGCCCTGCTGAAAGTATTTAGGGGCTTCTGGCTGATGTTTCTTTAAAAATGGGTTAGGAAGGAGCAGTGGCAGAGGTAGACTTACTGTTAGGAGGGACGCCAAGCCTATCTCAAGTGGTTCACAGACTGAGAACAAATTTATTTCTCAAACAATCATTTGCAGGTAGAGTGTATAGATATAGCACAAAGGATATAATATGTATCAAAGTAAGTTGAAATTGATAAATAATGAAAAACATTTAATGAACAAATCTAAAACATGATTAGGTTAAAAAAAAACAATAACTTAGCAGCTGCTAATGATAGGATAAAAGAAACATTGAGGCTAAGCGTTTAAAAGTGAAAGAGTCTTAATGTTACTCTGAGTGTTATGATTAAAAAGTGATGAAGCAAATTACTCTTGGTTTAAAAATATTTATTTACACAAACATATATAATATGTAGGATTATAGTATTGCTTAAATGCTCTAAGTCATGCTTTTTTACATCTTCCAAAGTCAACTATGCAAAATATTGCCTTTGGCACTACAGACTATTCATTTACTTTTAACAGGTGTGGGCATTTCATGACATCATGGTACTTCTGGTGCTTAGGCTCTCTAGAAAGGAAATCTTTTTAGTGCTTTTGCAGCGAAGAACACTTTTTTATGACTTAGCTAAACAAGAACAGTTGCTGTCACTGTGCAGGAAGGGCTGTACTTGAGACAGCAAAATTTACGAGGATTACTCAGACACACATGAGTCGCTTGAATTAACACTCTGGGCATGATTTTGAGAGGGAAATAGCATTATAAAAGTTTTAAAATCTCAAAAAGTTGATTTTGCATATTATAGGCCCTTTAAATATAAAGAGCAAAGTCTTGGTTGTTTGCTCTACATTTTTTCATTGGACACAAATGTTCTGTATCTATCTTTGTTTCTTGTGTTTGGAGACCAGAAATATCTCTACTGTAGCCCAACCAGCCTAACTGGTAGTGGCTAAAAAAAAAATCACTGCCAGGAAGCCACTGAAAAAAAACATAACTGTAACTGCTTTTGAAAGGTTGACAGCAACTGACAATGGATCCAACCTTATCATGAATGTAGGAATTTCTCAAAGTCAAAGGATTTTTTTCCCTTTGTTTCTGTCTTCAGCCACAAATCTTTGGTCTCTTTATAATATGTCATTAATACCCATCATGAAATCTTAAAGTTTCATCTACTGAATAGTTTTGCCTGGTGCAAAGTGAAACTATGATAAGATCAAATCAGGTTTAGTAAGTTTTCATTTGAATCTGATCTGTGGAGAAAAGAAACAGGTTTTAGAAAAGTAAAGAACTTGGTTTAACTCATCGCCTATCTGGTCTGCAAAACAAATCCCTCTATTATGCATGTACAGAATGCACTATTTCACAGACACAGACATCCCCACACCAGGCAACTGTTTGTTGATCAAGTCTCTGGGTTCAGCGTCTCAGTGAGCTCCAACCTCCTCTCAGGAACTGAAAGGTCAGAAATATCCAGAGTACAATTATTACAAATCATAACACATCTAAAACATTGCAGAGCAGTAAATGGAAGAACTGAAGTGTTCTCATCTTTAAAATACTGTAATCTGCTCATCTAGATCTAGCTTATTGCTCAGCTAGATTTTAGATACGCAGTCCACGTCTTTTACCTGTTTTCTTTTTATAGGCCACATATCCAGCAGCCCAAATGGAAGCCAGAACAGATGATAACACAACAGCTATGATGAGGATTGTTGAGTTACTGGGTCTCTCTGGTGAACAAAGAAAAATTAAAATCACTAAAAGCAACAATGCAATTCCCAATACAATTAACCTCTAAACTTTCAAAGCAAAAACTTTTTAACATCATTAAAGAAAATTTGTCAAACAGCTTCAGTTAGGAATTGTGTATCTCAAATGCTAGATGTTAAAAATATTAAAGAGCGATGGTGGTCTAGGATGCAGGAGTTAATTCTGGAATTGTAGTGTTACAATTTTGAACTCCAGCTCTGTCTCTCTTATTTGCTGTCCTTGAACCCATATAGCCAACTGATGGTGGTAAGAGAGCACAGTGGTGAACGTGTACGGCAACTTCACCTCTGTCTGTGTGCCCCAGGGCAGCTGTGGCTACATTTTAGCTCACCATCATCAGTGTGTGAATGGGTGAAAGACTAATTGTAGTGTAAAGCATGTTGGAGACCCGTGACTTAATAAAATGTGCTATATAAACACAGACTATTTATCATATAATGAGAAAGAGCCTGCACCATCATATTCTTTATTAATACAGAAGTTTAGTTTTTGCTTTGTAAAACATAAAACAAGGGAATAGGACATATTATTCATTAAACTAAACAAACAAAAAAACACAAGAAGAAACAGGCCTTTTATACTAACCTCTGTTGGTTCTTATTTCTGCTTCATCAAGTTGGATAATTTTTTCCTCTTTGTCTATGAGTTGAAACACACAGACATATCGCTTCCAGTCTTCAAGACTGATTGAAGAGATGTTAAGGTAAACTCTCATCTGGAAGGTCCCATCATCGTTTGGAAGGATCTCTCCATGTTCCACGTCCTCATGAATCTCTTCCCCTTCTTTCCTCCAGAACATCAGGGCTCTTTTAGGATAGAAGCCTGTAGCGTGGCAGGTAACTGGACTAGTAGGAGTCTTCTGCAGCAGAAACAAGGAGGGATGCTCTGTGAAAGGACGAAAGACAAAAAAAGGGGAATAGAGGCTTACCATATAAAAAACAGATAAGATCATTCAGATAATGGGGAAAGGATTGGGAATAATGATGGATATTCTAAGAAAAAACAGAACATGAACACAGCTACAGTAGTTGTAACAGGAAAATGCAGTTAAAACAATGAGGTCACTGGAAAAGATAAAAAAAAAAGTTCTCTTCTTATATCTTGAGTTAAATGAGTTTTGTGTGGCTTTGTATGTTTTAAAGTCAGAGGGGGGAATGAAGAAATTTCAGGACTGCTTTGAATACTCTGACTGGAACATGTTCAAAGCTGCAGCAACCTATGAAAACAAAATAAATATAGATGAGTATGCCATGTCTGTGTCAGCCTACATCAACAAATGCATTAAGGCTGTTAGCATCACAAAGAACATCACCACCCGGGCCAACCAACCACCCTGCATGAAATGAGTGTGGAGGTTCATAAATTGCTAAAAGCACGGAACTCAGCTTTCAAGTCTGGTGATAAAGAGGCACTGAGAACAGCGTGTGCCAACTTAAATCGTGCCATCAGATCAGCAAAGCAGAACCAGAGCCGAAAGATCCACAATCTTTTAAACGAGGGCAGCAACACCAGGAGGATGTGGCAAGGCATACAGGCGATGACAGACATGCATGTGATGTAATGACATGATGAAGTGCTTCGAAAAGCTGGTTAAAAAACACATTGTCTCCAGTCCCCAACCCCCACATTTGACCCATCCCAGTTTGTAACCGCTCCACTGAAGAGGCCATCTCCTCTGCTCTTCACCTGAGCCTAGCACACCTGGAGGTGAGCTGTTCCTGGACTTCAGCTCAACTTTCAACACCATCATCCCACAGCATCTGATTGGCAAACTGGTGGGCTTCAATAACTTCCTCTGCTATTGGCTGTTAGACTTCCTCACAAACAGACCTCAATCAGTCTGGGTCAGACAGAACACCTCTGATGTCATCAGTCTAAGCACAGGCTCCCTTCAGGGCTGCGTCCTGAGCCCCCTGCTGTTCATTCTCATGACACATGACTGCGTCCCCAGGTTCACCAACAATCACATCGTGAAGTTTGCAGACGACACCATGGTGGTAGGCCGCATCAGAGACGACAACGACCAGGACTACAGAGTGGAGGTGGAGCAGGTGGTGGACTGGTGCAGAGATAACAGCCTGATCCTGAACATGGAGAAGATGAAGGAGATCATCTTGGACTTCAGGAAGAACTGGCCTAATCAGGCTCCACTTCTCATCAACAGCTCAGCTGTAGAGGTGGTCAGTAGCACCAAATTCCTGGGGGTGCACATCACAGACACCCTCACCTGGACTGTAAACTCCAACTCACTAGTCAAAAGGATACAAAAGCGCTTTTACTTCCTGTGGAGGATGAGGACAGCCCATCCTCGCAAACTTGTACAGATGGTGAAAAAAGGCCAAATGTTGGAGCAGTCATTAGGAAATGGAAGTTTAGTTTAGTTTTATTAGGATCCCCATTAGCTGCCAAATAAATGGCCACTAATCTTCCTGGGGTCCTCACATAAAGAAATTACATTACATTATAAACAAACCATTTTTTTAAAAAAATTGCACAAGTTGCACATTAGGAAATAATAGGAATATGAAAAAGAGTAAAAATATACAACATAAATACACAGGTCAGTTCATCATATCATCTGTAGTAGTTCTGAAGACAGTATCTTTTTGAAGCTTGTTCTGTTCTGGACTCTTCGCGAGGTTATTGGCAGTTGGTTCCAGTGACATATGGCTCTATAATACATTCTGGTTTTAAGATAGTTTGTTCTGGGTCAAGGGAGTTTAATGTCTCCACCTAGTACCCGTGTTGTTAAATAATTATGACTTTTTTCAAGAAGGACTAAATGTTCAGCAAAAAATTAAGGCTGTTTTTTAAAGAAAACATTCCATATAAATAGGAGAAGTCTTAATTTAAGTTTATAAGTAACTGTTAACCATGAAAGCCGTCTATGCATTGAAGCCACATTTGTTCTTTGTAAGCACTGAAGGACCACTCTGGCCGCCCTGTTTTGTGCCAGCTGAAGCTTGTGAAGCTCACTCTGTGAAGCAGATGACCATATCACTGGGCAATACTCCATATATAACTCAGGACAAGAGACTGTACAACCTGTTTAGTAATAGCAGTGGGTATGAATGAAACACATTTCTTCACCATCGTAATGCCTTTACCTATTTTAGCCACAATACCATCTATATGAGCAGCCCAAGACAGGTGTGAGTCTAAGATAACTCCCAATAATTTAGTTTGCTTTACTTGCTTCAGTTGCACCCCGCTAACAAACATAGTGAGGTTTCATTTTTTAATTTGATTACTTCCAAAAGTGATAGATGTTATTTTTTCTATATTTAATTCCAATTAATATTCTTAAACCCACCTGCTTACTTTTTCTAAATCATAATTAACTAAGTTTGACACACGGTCAGCTGTTTGTGCTGCACAATACAATGTGGAGTCATCTGCATACATAACTATAGTTGTATTCTCCAGTATGCAGGGCAGATCATTTGTAAAAATAGAGTACAAGAGTGGAGAAAGGCAGCTTCCTTGTGGTAATCCACAATGATGTGTTTTACTGGACGAGCATTCACCAAAAATGACTGTCAATCTCCCTCAGATTAGAGCTCCATGGAAGCTCTCGCCTCACCTCAATCATGTGGTCAGATGAGACAAAGATAAAACTTTTTGGTCATAATTCCACTAACTGTGTTTGGAGGAAGAAGAATGATGAGTACCATCCCAAGAACAGAATCCCTATGTGAAGCATGGGGGTGGAAGCATCATGCTTTGGCAGTGTTTTTCTTCACATGGAACAGGACGACTGCACTGTATTAAGGAAAGGATAACCAGGGCCATGTATTGCAAGATTTTCTGGAACAACCTCCTTCCCTCAGTTAAAGCATTGAAGATGGGTCGGGGCTAGGTCTTCCAACATGATAATTAGCAGAAGCACACAGCCAGAATAAGCAAGGAGTGGCTCTACAAGAAGCATTTCAAGGTTCTGGCGTTGCCTAGCCAGTCTCCAGACCTAAACCCAAAAGAGAATCTTTAGAGAGAACTCAAACTCTTGTGTTTCTCAGACACAGCACAGAAACCTGACTGATTTAGAGAAGATCTGTGTGGAGGAATGAGCCAAAATCCCTCCTGCGGTGTGTACAAACCTTGTACAAACCTTTGACCTCAGATATTAACATTGATATTCTTAGGTGTTCACATGCATTTTCATAGCTGTATCATACAAATAAATAGCTAAAAAGTGATAGATTGTGACTTCCTGTTTTTTTTTTCAAAACTCGAAATAATAGGATTTTACTTTTACTTGTGTTTAATGTGCGATTAATAAAATCTCTGCTCAGTGGATGCCGATTCCCGATTTTGCTATCAACACCAATCTAGATAATTCCTCACACTTTATTTGTGAAACTTACTGTATAAAATTCCAGGTATAGCATGATATTTTTAAGCCACTTAGCTGAAACCTGCTGAAGATTCCCTCCCCCTCCTTTTTTTTTAACATTTATATTCCCAGACTTATGAAATTCATACCACAATCACAGAGAACAGGTATGATTATGAAGACAAAATTACATAATTGTAAACACAATATAGATCTCTGCAACCTAGAACCTGAACCAGCAGAAGATTCCCTCCCCTCCTTATTTTCACATTCCCCCAAATTGTGTTGTCTTTGCCGCTTGGCATCACCTCCTCCGCTGGTTGAGCCACTGTGGTTGAAAATGAAAGCGCATGTGCCCTCTGGGCCACTGTAATTTGGTCCAGCTACTCGTTAGCGCACAGCCTGCCAAATGTTGAAAGGGCAATATTATTGCCATTATTGTTGATATATAATACAAATTTACACACTCAGTGATAAAATGTCTCAGGGGATGTTTTTTTTATAATGTTTTTTTTTTTTTTCTGTGAAGCACTTTGGTCTTCCTCGTGTTGTTGTAAAGTGCTATACAAATCAACTTTGATTGATTGATAGTTTGATGGTGTCATTTGATTACCTGTTCTCAGCAGAAAGTCCTTCCCTGTTTTCAAGCCTCTCTTCACCCATTCAGGGCACATCTGCATAAGAATTCTCTGGTCGAGCAAAATCCTCTCTCTTTCAGTGTCCCATACCCTTTTAAATGGTATGGCTTCTGGTTTTAGAGCAATCCAAGTCAGAGTCTTAAAATCCAGCGCAATTAAATCTTCTTTATCATAACCATACAGTAAAACAGCATTAACATTCTGAGTCTCCTCATCTGTCTCACAGGAACTGATCAACTGTAAAAAATGGACACCTGAGAATGAAACCAAAACAGATAAGTAAATAAAATGTGGGGATTAGTAAGAAAAATTACATTTTATCAAGGAGTAATCACATAGTTCTATACCTTGATAATGTCAGTATTTGAATAATAACACAACTTTACTTTGTCAAAAAGAGCTACCATTCATAGCTTTTAAAATAATAGCAATAAATAAAAACATGTATGACACATAATAGTAAGTGTGAATAAGCAGCTTTTTTTTCTGCTCATACTATGTTTTGTTTAAGACTGTTTGGCCAATAAAGCTGCAAATCTGTCTCGTGTCACACCAGCTGGGGCATACAGTCTGCAGCAACCAATGCACTGATGGTGGCTACAGATTTCAAATTATAACTCAGTTTCAAAACAAAACCAAGAGAAAACTGCAGTGAAACACAAATAATTCTTAATTTCAAATAGCATTATGGTAGTCATAAGATTTCACATGAAGGCTACTCCTTTATTTAAACTTATGCTGGGCGATAATGTATGCTTGCATGAAAACATTGTGTTAAACTAAATATACTTGAGCAGGTGCGGGAAAAGGCTGCCTTTTTTCACAGTAGAGATTTTGAGACATACCTTCTTGTTGTCTGAATTGTTTCTTCAAAGCAGACATATAATCTCTAAAGTATGGCAGTTGTGCAAAACACTGCAAGTTGAACCAGTCGTGTAGCCCAGGGTCGTCTTTGAGAAATTTATCAACCCAGTCATAATTGTGCTTTATTGATTTGTTGCGGCTGTCGCAAACTGCAACTGAGTTATCGTCTCCCATCACAGTAATTTCTAACTCTGGGAAGTTAGAGAGTCCTGAAGATCCGGTCATTAGAAACTTCAAAGAGTGTTTCTCTATGAACATGGAAAGTTGAAAATGTAAATATCAATTTTTTTCTACAACAGTTTAAGTTTCCAAGTAACCAAACAACAATAAGGCTCGGGCACAGCGCGTTGCATTCTGGGTACGCCGCCATATTAGTAGCTAGTTGCTACGGTAAACAAAGACCTAAAACAGCATAGAGACAGAGCAGAAAGACGAGTAAACAGCGATGTTAAAAGCGAAGAAAGGATGCGGAATATACCGAGACACACTGCAGAGGGAAGCCAGGGACCGTTATCTGCAAAAGATGGGCTTCATAAACGGACTTGATCCCTACGAAGTAGAAAGCAAGGAGTGGTGCGTTGGGGAAGAATTTCTACCGCCGTTTGCGAGGGAGGACGTTTGCGAGGGAGGACGTATTTTCGTATCTAGTGTGTGGCGTCAGTGCCTACACACATGAAGAGTTTCGCTGTTCGCTTTTCACAAGTCGCTAGAGGCTTACAAACAGCTGACAGATGGAAAAGTTCATGACATGGAAGTTATCAAGCCGAATGAGAACACAGTCATCAGAGCCAAGGTAAGCTACCGTCTCAACATGGTGTGGTGTTTGTTGTGGTGATAAGACTAGGTGCTGGCACTAACGTAAAACATCAAAAATGTATCTAAATAAATCTTGTGCTGACTGTACGTGTCCAGGGATAATGTAGTTACATTCTGATGATATATGACTGTCCTAGCATGGTACTACCACGCAGGGGCGGAGATAGATGAATAAAAACAGTATGTTCTGTAACTTACCAGAATGAAAATGCTGGGAACACACTCTCATGGACACAGGGATTGAGTTAAAAAGTTATATTTGGCCGTCTTACAGCAGCGACCCATGCTAGCCGGCGACTCTTTGTTATGGAGGACATTTGTTTTCCATTGAGACGCCTCCAGGTTGGAAAACGGTAAAAAGACAATCCATTTGGGATTTTTTTCCCCGTCCAGTCACAGCTTGCGCTACTACACCCTACGACACAGCAACGGGCGACCATAACGACAGCAGAGGTAAAATGAAACGGCAAAAAACTAAGCAAACTACTAGCAGAAGAAAGCTAGTCCTTACAGGCGCGAAGTCAAAGTGTAAACAGTGGGCTGACCAGCTATCAATATGTCTGCCGCGCAACGTGTGACGTCATGTGCCCGAGCCTTATAATCGCGGGATTGCGCCAGGTAGGAGATAACAATAAGCAGTAAAGTTTGTAAAATGAAATGTAAAGATTAAGAGTTAAAGTTCAACCTTACCTGCTGATAAAAACTGGCAGAAAAGATAAAACAAAAACAAGTTCATAATCTTTCTTTTGTTGGAAAAAGCAGATGGCGTAATCGTGAATGGTCCCTATGCTGTGTTCACGCAGCACAGCCTGCCCTGCGGGTATGTTATACTGTGGGGAGTTCCTCTCTCTGCAGTTCAAAGCTTTGGCAAGCCATTTTATCATAAAATCAGCTTATTTTTCACTACCCATAATAACAGTACTTTTAAGATATTAAAGAAAAGTTTTGACCAGGAATAACTACATTTTTACTATCCTGGATGATCATTTAAGATTATATTATGAATAGTAAAAAAAAATTAAAAAATAAGATATCTTCAATTAAATTTTGTAGAGTCAAAATGCATTGTGAGATATTTCAAATGAAGTCACCTGATTCGTCATTTAAAATGTCAAACATCCAGAATTACAAACAGTGGCTCTGTTCGAAATCCTGGGCAGCATCCTTCAAGGACGCGGTCTACCTAGACTGGATCCTTCTAAGTCCGTGAAAATAAGGAGACCCCAAGTGTTTTGGCCGTGAATTCGAACAGGTCTACCCTTCGGCGGGTTTTACCGCTGTGTGCTCTGTTGCTTAGCAACCGTGAAAGTTGACAAGCAAAGCAGGAAAATAATGAAAACCAAAGTTTTCAAAACTGTTTGTTTATTTATTTACTTTTCACTGTAAAGTAAACAAAGACTACACTCACAAGAATCCAGAGTGGAATAAAGGTGCCAACCACCGGGAGCAGGAACAAATAAAAGCAAATCTAATGATAGAAACCTTAGTCAGTTAAATAACATGCTGCTGTCATTTTGCACATCTCTCATGTTGCTGCTATTTTCAAATATCCATTACTGTAAAAATGTCCATAGCTGCATATTGGTTATTTATTCTCCAGTTTTATATTGTTAAAACACTTTACAGTATTGTATTTTTTATATTTTACATTTGTGTGACCATTTTCAATAATCTTTCTGCTGCTGTAAATTTGCCCATTGTGGGACAATTAAGGGATTTTCTATTCTATTCTTTAAAGGGGGTAGAAATATATAAGTAAATCTAAACAATGTATGTATACAAATATATCTGCAAAATCTCTAATATGCAACAACAAAAAATACTTAACTAACATATTGGGCAAAACAGCAATAAAAAAATTAAACTCCTATCAGATTTATAGTTCCCACACTGCAGATATATTAGAATCGTCCTTCGAATCTGGCCTTATAAGGACGCGTCCCAGGATTTCGAACAGAGCAATTGTTGATTTTTATTGTCTTGTTGCTGCTGTCGCAACACGTGACTGAAATGTCATCAGCCGTCACAGTAATCTGTAACTCTTACATTTATTCATTTGATGTATCTTTTCCATTTAATCATATGCTTACCTGCTTATTGAACATTTATTTTAAATATTTAATTATCTTTAATTATGTCAGGGTTGTTCATCCATTGCTTGGATTTGCAGATGCAGTCAGCAATGCTGATGCAGGATTATTACCGAATTTACAAAGAAAAAACTTTTTTAGAACTATGTCATGCTGAAATCAACGTTTATGCCAGCTCCTTTCTGCTCAACTCCACATGCAGAAAACTTGATGCAATCTATTGTATTAAACAGCAACAGAGGCAGATCATAGGAAATATGTGGTAGCACATAATGTTTTTCTCATTGCTGTCAGCAAGATTCTGTATTAATCAGACTAACAGCCTTTACAGTTAAACATTAGCCTCCAAGTTAAAATAAATTAACAGACTTTGAACTGTAGGAAAAAAATAAAGCTAAACCCATTTTCATTTACACTTCAGCTTGTGAAGCAAGATGAAACGACTTTTGATGCTTTTTGTTTTCTGCGGTATCATGTTTGCAGGTAAGATAATGAAAAATAGATATTTTGTATGCATTTTTGTTTTTAGAATCTCTTCTCAAACTTCTAACTACGGTAACTAAATAGCTGTATTTAAACTCATTAAGGGGTCATTTGTGATTTAAAGATACAATATAAATTGAATTATCCTTATTTTGACCAATTTACAATGGCATTATTTGTCCAGATACCAGTTAAAAAAAAAGGGAAGATAACAGGCCAATCCGACAGCCCTGTTTTTATCTCAAATACATAAAAATTGGTGGTCAATGGTAACTTAATGTCAATGGTANATCAGAGCACAGACTAGTATTTCAGAAATTAGAAGATGAGTACAGAGCTGTATATTGAATGAATACTATGAAATTACCCAGGATGTGTTACACTAGTGGGGTTAATGGTACACTCCTGTGATGTTTTAACAAAAGTGAAACGTCCTTATTTATTGAGACAGAGAATACATTTTCCTGCTGATTGGGTGAGTCTGAATAAAGTCAGAAATTCATCCATTAATGATTCCAAATAAAGCTGCTTAATGCCTACGCTTTGTTAACTGAAACCTGAATGTTAATTAGCCATCGTTGTTGTGAGTATGGCTGGCCTGGTAGCATCTAGATTTTACGCAGCTTAACCATGCAATTAGCAGAAGCTGTCCCCTTGAGACCACCCCTCCTCGTCTGCATAATAAGTCAGACATGCAGAGAGAAATGGCAAAAGAATTGGAATAAAGGGTACAGACTAATAAAACAATACAGACAAAAAAATAAATAAGAGAATACATACAATTAAAGTATATTCATGCATTTATTTCTCATTGTTTAGTTAAATTATTTCTTACATTTATTCATTTGATGTATCTTTTCCATTTAATCATATACTTACCTGCTTATTGAACATTTATTTAAAATATTTATTTATCTTTAATTATGTCAGGGTTGGTCTTCCATTGCTTGGATTTGCAGATGCAGTCAGCAATGCTGATGCAGGATTATTACCGAATTTACAAAGAAAAAACTTTTTTAGAACTATGTCATGCTGAAATCAACGTTTATGCCAGCTCCTTTCTGCTCAACTCCACATGCAGAAAACTTGATGCAATCTATTGTATTAAACAGCAACAGAGGCAGATCATAGGAAATATGTAGTAGCACATAATGTTTTTCTCATTGCTGTCAGCAAGATTCTGTATTAATCAGACTAACAGCCTTTACAGTTAAACATTAGCCTCCAAGTTAAAATAAATTAACAGACTTTGTACTGTAGGAAAAAAAAAGCTAAACCCATTTTCATTTACACTACAGCTTGTGAAGCAAGATGAAGAGACTTTTGATGCTCTTTGTTTTCTGCCGTATCATGTTTGCAGGTAAGATAATGAAAAATAGATATTTTGTATGCATTTTTGTTTTTAGAATCTCTTCTCAAACATCTCACTACGGTAACTAGATAGCTGTATTTAAACTCATTAAGGGGTCATTTGTGATTTAAAGATACAATATAAATTGAATTATCCTTATTTTGACCAATTTACAATGGCATTATTTGTCCAGATACCAGTTAAAAAAAAAGGGAAGATAACAGGCCAATCCGACAGCCCTGTTTTTATCTCAAATACATAAAAATTGGTGGTCAATGGTAACTTAATGTCAATGGTAGGAATCCCTAACAAGAAAGTCACATAAGACAAAAAATAAATAAAAAAAAATTTTCCCGCTGCTTAGAAATGGAAATTATTGTTTCCCCAAATGTTTTTTTTTTTTTATGAGTTGCTTTTGAGTTTCCTTCTTGACATAGAATAGAATAGAATAGAATAGAATAGAATAGAATAGAATAGAATAGAATAGAATAGGTAATCGCTTCATTGTCCCACAATGGGGAAAATCTGGTGTTTACAGCAGCAAAAAGATTATAGAAAAAAAAGGTCACATAAATATGGAACTTAGAAAAAGAATAACATGATAGTGTTAAAAGATAAACAATAAAATACTGTACTGTTAAGTGTTTTAACAACATAAGAATAAATAACCAATATACAGCTATAGATATTTTTACAGTAATTGATATTTGAAAATAGCAGCGACATCAGAGATGTGCAACATGACAGCAGCATGTTATTTAACTGACTAAGGTAGAAACTGTGTAAAATCAGCATGAATGTAGCAAATTATTGAGATGGTTGGGAAGAGTGGTGTTTGTAGAGCAGGGTCCTCAGACTTGCGGCCCGCGGGCCAACTGCCCTCAAGACGATAGTTTGTGGCCCCCACCTTAATATGAAAGTTTAATGCTAGTGCGGCTCACAAGCTTGATATGATTGGCACTTTTCAGTGTTGTGTTTGGAGTATATTGCTCTGGGGGGCCCGGACATCTATTTGTCATTATTAGCATGTGGCACTTGCTCATTTTCCGTGCCCGCTCCAGCTTCACCATCCAGTCTAGACCTGGAAGTTGCTACTCAGTGTAACATAATTAAGGCTAGGTGAGTAATAGAAAATGATTACATTCGAGAAGACCTGCTCCTAAACGGAAAAAATAGAAAAGGAGATAAAATTAATGAAAATATAAAAAAAACACCTTTTAAATCAATGCTTTTCTATAGTACTTTTAGTATTAACATAATCAAAACATAGTGTCTTGGTAACCTTCACAATCTTTTCTATCAGAGCTGTTGTTTTATACTGCTGTTTTAATGGTATGAGGAAGTTATGGTTAAATAAATGACCTTTTCACATTAACAGGTAATGTTCCACTGACTGTTCAGCACCTTTAGTGTCTTTGCATATTTTATCTTCATGCACCCTATGTGAGTAATTTAGCATCCTCATTGTACCCCACTTTGTCTATGTGGAGGTTTGATGCAGAAACAGGAGCTGCAGAAAGATATAAAGGTAGCACATAATTGTCATGATTTTCTTTAGAGATCTGACCCATGTGCAGTAAACCACTCAGAGAACCAGGGTAAAAGTTTTAACAGGTTTATTGATAAGGTCAGCGGGGGTTGGATTCAGGAAACTCAGAGTGCTGATGAACCGGAACTGAAGAGGGAAGTATCAGCGGTGAGTTCAGGATCCGTGGGAACTTTTAACGATGACTGGAGAGAGAGAGGAAACGGGACTCATGTTAGTGGAGAAAACCCTTCTTCCCAGAATCCAGTAGGTGTGGGTTTATCCAGAGTTAGAGGCTCGTTGGAGGGTGGACAGGTT